CCCCCCCCCCCCTAGCTTGTCATAAAATTAGATCAGGACGTGACCACGATACACACACAAACGCACATTCTGGTTTATTGTCTGGTTGTGAACAACTGATTAGGGGGTAAATATTTATGCCACTAGTGGCTGATCTCCTTGTTATTGAAGTGGTGGTCAATTGTAGCGCCACAGCTAGAAGCAAGAGGCGAGAAAGAGAAGCCACCCCTCTCTATTGCGCTACTTTACCCGCTGCATACCTCAACCCAAAGCACAAGACGGCCGTTGGCATTCGCCAAGGCAATGAATGACTCATCGCTCTGTTGTTGTGATATGCGAGGCAAAACGATTGGTCATGAGAGTCGTGTGAGTTAATTGGCCAATTGGTAAGCGCACAACGCACCTCACAGCGCGTAAACAAATTCGCCCAATTATAGACGAGAGAGAGAGAAAGACGAAGAATGACTCACGTTTCTGGGACATTCCAACTTCGAGACACTTTTTGAAACGGCAACTCTTGCACATATTACGATTGGAGGGAGTTATACGACAAGTCTGATTACCCAGACACTGATGGATGCTGCTTGAATTCACCGTTCGTCGGAAAAAGCCCTGTTAAAAAATGCATGTTTGTTAGCAACCAGAAAACTGATGATTAAGCAGCCGAGTTTCCAGCCGATCATCTAGCATACCTTACAACCCTCACAAGTAAGGGCCCCAAAATGGAAGCCAGATGATGGTCCACCACAGACGCGACAGGGAATTTTCGAGACATCGCAACCGATTTCTCCTCCAGGAGCTGAAATCGGGACTAACAGTTAATGATATTGTAAAAGTGTCGGGGTTTAGCTCACACAACACAACACAACACAAACAAACAATCAGAAGTTTAATCACCAATGCCCATTCTAGAAACTAAGCTAACGACTCGTTTCATTACAACTGCAGAGTGAAATGGAAGTCAGATGGACTGCCTTTTTCCAAAAGAAAAAGGTTTTGACAGTATCGGAAATGGCTTCTAGTAATAAAAAGGATGCTTGTTAAAGTACTCCATATTGAAGTGATTTCAGTAGAAGAGCGAAAATGAAGAAATCACGTGATGTTGAAAAAAAGATCACTACAAAAGCCGCAGAGGATAGGTATCTGCTTCAACAAACAAAAGACGGAAAAAATGAACATGCAAACAGCAGAATGCATATTAATGATATTAGGAATAGCTTTGCCGATAATTACCAAGTTTAGAACAGATGAAAAAAGCAGAAATTAGCTCTACTTTTGCAAAAATTTTAATCTCTACTAAAATTATTAATCCCTTTATTGTTCCCAAAAGAACATTCGCCATTGTAGATTGGTTGCTACTGGAATCTCTATAGGTGCCTTAGATTAGCGAGGAGGGGTGTGCGATAGACTTACATCCACGTGGTGCCCCCTGGGCAACGCATACACATACGGCAAAGAAAGTCTATTAACCGGAAGTTAACTTCTCACTTCAAACTACCATCGCCCCACTGTATGTCATATTCGACTACTTCCACAGTTCTCACCTCATCTTTTCTCTGCCTTTGTGTCTGTTTGTCTCCCTTATATCTGTGAATCACTCTTCTATTCCACCCCCAACCCCTCCTCATCCTCCTCTCTGTGAAGCCTGAAGTCAACTAAAGGGCTAATGATTGGCGATGTCCCCATCAGAAATTGAAGTAAGTAGAGGCGAAGAAGAAGAAGAAGGCAGCGCGATTTGAATGGTCGCATTTTTTCAATAAACATTTGGAAGGGCCATTAAATGAAACAGAATCTGGGTGAATTTCAGAGATTGCGATTAGATTCCCACATATATCAAATCCTATTAGACACTGATGCTGCCTTGCAAGTGGACCATATCCGATGGCTAGGGTTGAAGTCCTGTGGACGAAGGCCGATAATTGGATAGTTATGGAGAAAAGATGGCAAAGCCTAAACTGTACACGTATATAGTCAAACACGAAAAGAGATTGATCTCTGTTTCACTATGAGCATCAAACATCACTGATCTACAATTCCTGTAGACCAGTGTGACCAGAGATTAAGGCTTGAATTAGGTTGAATTATGTTTGCTAATATGGACACCTTCACAGAATGCGGGCATACGCTCAACCAACTTGCCCCAATTGTGACCTACAGGAGGAAATGGAGAAGTTCAACCCGATTCGGTGTTCAACCCTACAGAGACAACGGCAGAAACGCAAAAATACTGGTAATACCGAAGTCAGCTGAGGAGCTAATATTCGATGAAAGACCCTTCCATACACCAATCAACCGACCAATTAGTTCCGAGGCAACTGCGTAAAAATTTAACATTAAACTGAAATTTCTTCTCCAAAGATCAGGTCAATTTCAATTTTGTGTGTGTACAATAAATTGCATTCGATATAATGTCTGATATTGCCAGATTAAGGACAATGATTTTAACTAAAAACAAAACAATTGTTTACGTGACCCCTCTCTACAAGGCCCCCCCCCCCCCCCCCCCCCCCCCCCCCCCCCACCTACCGTGGGGAAGGGGGGAGGAGAAAAAACAAAAAAAAAAGAAAACC